AATTCTGAAGTAACCACCTCACCGGACTAGTGGAGTGCCATGTAATAAAACTGCCTCCCCTAAACTGCACTGGATATCTATCTCTCGGGTAGAGAGAATATTGAGATGAACCTGTAGCGGTAAATAATTGCCCAGAACCATTAGACTACAGCATTCACCACTCAGCACTGGATGCTGACCTTCTTTGTGTAAGACAACTCGTTAAGCAGGAGGTTCGCAGCCAAGCATCCATGGCATTTGGCACGCTGTCATATTACATTCGGTAATTCGTGCACGATCCCTAGACACCTGAGAAATCATCGTGGTACTATGATTCTGATCCCTATATATATACATACATATATATATATATATATGAGTTTCACTTTCATTTACCGGTTGTTAATCACAAGAGTGTTAGAGCACCACATAAAACAAAGACACCATCTTGGTATTGAATCGCCAGACAGTGCTGAAATATTACGGCATTCCTTTATCCTAAAGAAATTCTCTGAACATAGTGCTGATGAATTTAGATGAGGGAGTGTGGGTTTTCGAGATTTTAGGACTACAAGTTATTGAACGTAAAAAATGCATGTGAATCTCACATTGAAAGTAAAGCTAAGTTCCTTTTTATTATTATTACTATTCCCATGCGTTCCTAGTGGAACATAGGGCTTCAACAACACATCTCCACTTCGTCCTATCTTCTGCCGTCCTCTTCAGCTGGGTCCACGATTGACCATAATTTCTCATCTCCTCTTCACACGATCTCCTCCATGTCACCCTCTCATTGACGACCCACTCGTCACTTCCCGTTTGGATTCCACTCGAGCGATGGCCTGCATTGCGTGCGATGTCATTTGAAGGTCTCCTCAATGTATGACCAATCCATCTCCACTTTCTCCTGCATATTTGTTGAGTGATTGGTTCTCGCCTATTGGTTTGTTCCCGGCCAGAGTTTCTTTTTACTAATCCTTTCTAGTCGGCCATTTGATCTTCAGTATGGAGCCAGAAAAGGGGACAGCTGTTGATGAAAGTCTGTAGTGACCTGTTGGAAATCCTTTTCGTGACACGCAGTACAAGTTTCTGACCAGTGTAGAAGCACTGACTGACCCCACATTGGTGTTGAAAATCCGAATCTTGTTGTTTATGCTGGAGAGTGCATTGCAGAGGATTTCCGGACTGGTTTCAGGTTGATGAAGTCGTATCTTTCCTTTCCGATTCTGTCTGGCTTTGACACCTTCATCCGTGTTATCCACCTGTAGTTGAAAAGATGCAGGCTGCCTTGATAAGCGAAGGAGATCACCTCTGTTAAATCCCTCCCGTTGATGGTGGTTGGTGATGGTTTCTGTTGTTTTCGCTGTTGATTGGTTATCTTCATCACCTCCGTCTTTTCTGTGTTCACCTGGAGTCTTGTCTTCGCAGCCTACCTCTTCAGCCAGTATGTTAGTTTTCGCCTATAATCCTTCGAGTTTTTTCGACATTAGACATATATCATCTGCGAAATCCAAATCTTCTAGAGTCTTCCCAATGGTTGTCCAGCGTATTCCTGACTCTTCGCCCCCAACAGTCTGATGCATAATCCAGTCCACCACAATTAAAAATATCATCGGTGATAATACGCAGCCAATTTGTCTTACTCGTGTATTTAGTTCGAAAACCTGATTGAGTACTCCGTAATGGATCATCTGACACGTGGCATTGTCATGTAGCCAGCTGTTGAATTAGGTCGATAAAGAATTGAGCACTGCAAGCCTAGTGTTGAAGTAGTTTCCAAATTACTCCTCAGTCTACGTTGTCGAAGGCCTTTTCGAAGTCGATGAAGTTGAGATAGGTGCTTAACTGCCATTCTATGCTTTGTTCGATGATGATGTGTAGAGTTGCAATTTGATCAGCACATGATTTGCCTTTCCCGAATCCAAATTGTTCCGTGCCGGTGGAGTTCTGTATTCAGTGAATTCTTTATTCTTTCCAGGATGATGCTACTTAGAACTTACCTGGCGTGGACAAGGGCACTATTTCACGCCAGTCCCTGCACAGGCCTATAGGTCGCCCTTCTTTAGAAGTTTGAATAGGTAGGCCTTCTTCCAATCAGTAGGCACCTTTACTTCTCCTTTTCAAACACTCGCAGTAATGTGTGAGTACGTCTGCCATAGATTCTAGGTAAGTTTCCAGAGGTTCTAGAGGAATTGAGTCTGGTCCTGCTACCTTCCCGGACTTCAGTACCTTCATCGTATTCAGGATTTCTGCTTTCGGTGGAGGAGTAGTGTCCACTGGCATTTCCGTGTGTACTATTGGTGGTGATGGATTTCTGGGCGAGTTGCCGGTGATGATTGATTCAAGAGTCCTTTTAAACGATCAGCCCATTCATTGTTTTATTTATTTTTCCTCCTTCGTGGTCAGGATCTTCTGAACATCTTTTATTGGTTTCATCATCTGGGTTGATCTCTTCCCGAATAGAGACCTGGTTATCTGATAAAGTGTCCTGATGTCTCTTTTGCCTGTGGCCTGTTCTGCTTCAGCCGCCAGTGTGCCGTAGGTTTGTCATTTACCTTTTCTAGCACTCTTTACTTCTTTATTCAGTGCAGTGTACACTGAATTCAGCTTCTCCTTCTGTTCTCTTGTCCATCTTTGCATTGAGTCATCTGCCCTTTCAGCATCCTCCTCTCCTCGATTCGTTTCCAGAGCCATTCTTTGTCTAGTCTCCTCCTTCTTCCCAGAACAGTTGTACATGTTTCCTTGAATATCGCTTTTAGAGAGCTCCAATGTTCTTCCACAGAAGTTTCCTCGGTGATGGCACGTAGTGTGTCCGACTTTGTTCTGATTTGATCTGTAGCGAAGGTATGCCTTGTAGTTTTGTATTTCAGTCCGGTTTCTGAATGTCGAACTTGAATTGTGGTCTGTCTCCACTTGTTTTCATGAATTTCAGCTTCACTTTGAAGGTTCCTTTGGTTAGATGATGGTCTGAGTCCACATCTGCTCCCCTTCTCGACTTTGTGTCCAGAAGTCTCACAGCATCTCCATGTCCTTGAGCGATTTTGAAATGAAGTCTATCTGGCTTGCGGTATATCCGTCAGGCGAAATCCATGTCGCTGGCCTTAAATATATCCTTGTCCTTGTACACGCTGCCTCCAATCACCAGATTATTGAAAGTGCAGAAGTCTGAGAGAAATTATCTGTTCTTATTCATTCATTCGAGCCAGAACCTCTCGACCAATGATGAGTTCTCTTCTTGTATTATCTGCTCCCAGTTCTGGCGGCATTCATATCTCTCATAAGGATTTTGATGCCACCATTTAGGATGTTGTCCATTACTGTTTGTAACTGTCTGTGCAAATCCTCCTTATTTTCTTGTTCCGCGTTGTTTGTAAGTGCGTGGCGTTGGATAATTGGTACCTTCCTTCCATTGGAGTTAAATCTTGCTGTCATGATCCTGCAATAGGAAATTGGTTTCCATTGCATTTGGGCTTTGGCTGCCACTGGTGACATCATGATAGCCATCCCCTCAGTGTGTTCGTGGTTGTCGTCTGGGTGACCGGAGTAGATTATTAACACTACTGTTGACAATGTTGTCGATCCACATCCATCCCATCTGCTTTCACACATACCCAGTATTTCAAAGCCAAATCTTCGTATCTCTTTGGCTACCTGGACAACCTTCCCAGCCAACCTCGTACATTGTACGGACATTCCACGTCTCCATTCTTACTCTTGCTTTCATCGAGAGAAGACACATAGACAGACTAGCTTCCTGAAGGTGGGGTTTCACCAGTCCGCTTCATTTCGCCTCTCCAATTCGTGTGAAGAATATGATTGTTATTTGAAGTTTTTGTATTTTTTATATATTTTCTGTGTGTTGAAGTTTCTCTAGCGGTTTGAAAGATTCAGTGGTGGGGTCGCTAGCCCCATGTCCAACCCTCCCTCTTTACTCGGGCTTCCAACCGGCTAGAAAACTAGCGAGCTAGTTCACTAGGCGAGGTTAAGTTCAATTTTTAGACGACTGGAATTGGGGAACGTTCCCACCTGGTGGTATTAGACAATCAACTCTAAAATAGTGCACAGAAGCTTTGCAATAGCTGCTATCTGTCTATTCAGTACACTTCACAGACTCGGAGAAACTGCCGAGATAGAGATAGACGAAATGCAATGACTTATAGACCGGCAGTATCACTCAGTGCTGCATCAACTGGTGCTGCAAAGCCGATTTGACTTACACATCGGGCAAAATATCGATAGGGACATGTCATTTCACGGAGCACGACAAGGTTTTTAGGGAGCTTGGACCAGCTCAACAAACCTTATTTAACTGGACACTAGATATTATTTTTTTATTTATTTTGATTTACAGCTTGATTCCACACCGTATTTTCAGTACAAGTGTGGAATTTTCAGCATGGATATCGGTAGCCAAAATTCAGGCCGACCATAGATATCGGGTGTGCGCCGGCAGGGGATCGAACCCCGGACCATGTTCATGGTCGGCGAGAGTCCTAACCACTGTGCCACCGACGCAGTGTGTCCGGTACTTCTTCCGGTGCAGAGTGAATTCTATCATCCAAGTATGAAATGTCGCCACCATTCTAGGTCGCTCACCTTCACAACGCACTTTAAATTGTTGATATTAGATGGTTATGGGCCATCCGAAGGAAGCCTTGAACCTACGTTTCGTTCTAGTTGGTACTCGTCAGAAAGGCATAGCTGCAACCTTCAAGGAATTCATGTACATCCTCTGTCTTCTTCATCAGTTAATGCTGCTACTGCCAGCTCGCTTGGCGATCACACTCGATGATTAAGGGGTGAGAGGACTTAATCCATTCACAGCAGTACCACAGTCGTGACACACCACATAATGCATATTACAAATAACCGACCCATCACATCATCCTATTAGGGATTTACCAAAACTTCTGCTTTTGAGAGACCAAAGTTCATGGACCTACATTTAACTATCAAAAAGCCAAATCAGTCAACATTACCTTGTATGAGGTTAAAAGGTTATTGAAGCATTGAGCGTTAGAATTATTTGCAGAGGGAATATTGACTTTTCAAGGTTACTCTGTTAGGCAGCCTGAATATCAGTTGAAGGTAATTCTATGTTCTTTTCAAGATGCTTTTATGAAATACTAAAATCAGATTTTGATGATAAAAATGTATTAAAAATATACCGAGTTTTTGTCCTAAATAAACATAAATTTATCCCTAGGCCTTGTAACATATTGACTTATTCTATACTCGGGTAATAAGGATGATAGTCCTACACGCTGCGTTCAACATATGTATCCTTCATATCTCGACTGAAAATCGAAAGCATATGGCACTGTGGTTAATGTCATTTGTAACTTCTTAGAAAGTGTGAGGGCATCGAAAACGCGCGCTCCTTGAATACAACGTGCATTTTCCTCTCTAACAGGAAATATCCACTTTTGTGAATAATTCGTTTGGGAAACCTGATCTTCCTATCCGGCGAATTTTATTCAACCATTTCTTCTTCACCGAGCCTGTGTTTGGTACTTCCCACTGTCTCGAACTACTGCCTAAGATTCAGGTGCTACTTCTGTAGCAACATCCAATATCCAATATCCTGATTACGAGCTAGTATAAACCAGTGATTTCTTTGAGCTCGCTTCTTGATTGTAAGGTAGAGGTTCCAGATCTTCGGTGAACTTATGCGTAGTAAATCCCGCCACTCGACTGCTTTAGCTCTGGTAGACTCCAAGAGGAGTGGTGCGAGGATTGGTCAAGATTGTGGTTTGTAGTGTGCAGTATGTTAGGACTCAGCTGCTGCCGTGAAGTTGACCTAAGAACCGTTGGTCATTAAAAATAGTCATAAAAGTAGAATAATAATAATAGGTTGTAGTGTAGATAATATAGGTTGAGATAAGTGAAATAATAAAGGTGAAATAATAAAGAAAGAAAGAAAAGATAGAGTAGTCGGTACAGTGGGAGAAGACAGGACGGGTCGTGGGGATTTAGCTTGTATGCTTATCCATTGACAATGTGGTTTCAAATTTTAAGAGGGTAAGCCATTGAGACACAAACCATGCATTTCTGCATGATTGTCCAGCTTCCGCTTAAAAGTCTCCACAGATGGAGCTGTAGTTACGGCCGCCGGTAAAGCGTTCCAGAGACGGCAAACTCGAAGCGAGAAGAAATGTGAACGCACTCGAGTCCTTGGTCTCTGGTGTGCTATCCTTAGCGGGTTACCTCGTGGAAGCCTATAATCACTTAATGGCAGGATGCTCTTATTAGGGTGGGCCTGGTCATTTAAGATCTTATAGACGGTGATGAGGTCTCCCCTGTGACTACGGTAACTAAGTGTGAAAAGACTTAATTTCTTCAGTCTTTCCTCATATGATTTGTTGCGGAGGCCGATCACCCATTTTGTCGCTCGTCTCTGGACACTTTCTAGCATGTTAGCATCCCTTTTGAGTAGCGGAGGAGCAATGATATTATGCACCTCAAGGAGTGGCCTCACGTATGTCGTATACAACGTTAAGAATAGTTCAGGAGTAAGAGCTCCCAGCTGCCTATGCATAAAGTGTAAAGTGGCGTAAGCTTTGGCGACGTCCCTCGTGTAATTTACACTGGTGTCTAGCTTTTCTGTTAAAATAAGGCCTAGATCGCGTTCTGATGGCACACAACTCAAGTTCTGGCCACCAAGGGTGTAATTTGCACTCTGTGACCTGCCGGAATGAAGTTGCACTACTTTGCACTTCTTTAAGTTGAAAGGCATTCCGTTAGCCAGAGCCCAGTCTCCCAGAGTTTGCAGGTCAGCCTGCAATCTGTCGGAGTCTTCCGATGAGTTTATTGCTCTCCAAATCTTTACGTCGTCAGCGTAAAGAAGCGCAGAGCAATTCAGTTGACAGGGCAGGTCGTTGATAAAAATCAAAAACATCAACGGCCCTAAGATAGAACCCTGAGGAACCCCTGATGCCGAGGTGTGCCAGGATGATCGGATGCGGTTGACTTTGGTGCAGAATTCTCTCTCGCCTAAGTAATCTTTCAGCCATGCGAGAAGTGCTCCAGAAACACCCGCTTTGCTTATTTTGTGAAGGAGCAGACCATGGTGAACTGTGTCGAATGCTTTCGCAAAGTCGAGAAAGATCACATGGACTGGTACCTTTACATCCCAGGATAGTGTCCAATCGTTCCAAGCTAGTAGAAGATTCGTCACACAGGATCTTCCCCTCCTGAAACCGTGCTGTGCTTCATGGAGTAGGTTAGTCCCGTCGAAGTATTTTCTCATGTGGTCGTCAATGAGACTTTCCAATATCTTCGATATCACTGGGAGTAGCGCAACTGGTCTGTAACTGGTCGCGTTCTGCCGGTCACCACCCTTGAAGATAGGGGATAGGATGGCTCGTTTCCATTCACATGGAAGTTTCCCTACATCAAAGGAGTGTTGAAACAGATCACTTAGGGGTTGGCAGAGACTTTCTGAACACTGCTTCAGGACGGATGGTCTTATGTCATCGCAACCTGCAGACTTTCCCGAAGCCAACTTTCCCAATTTTACGAGTACCATAGCCGGGGTAATTTGAAATGTACCCAGCAGGTTTTCGCACGTTGGTCTTGCATTGTAATCTTGATGTTTTGTGGGGGTAAAATCCTCATTACTGTTCAGTTGCCTGTGAAAGGCTAGACTGAATGTCTCTGCCATTTCAAGACTAGTAAGAGATTTCCCATCAGAACCCACTAGATTGCAAGCTCCCTGGTTGGTCGGTTTTCTTTCAGACATAAACCTGTATAGGCTTTTGGGGTTCACGAGAAGCTTATTGGCGAGGTTTCTCTGAAATGTCCTTCTATCACTCCGGACTCGTATGTTACACCGATTCCTGAGTTCGAGGTACACTTCATGTTCGGGTTGACTCTTCGATACTCGCCACGCAAACCAGGCTTTTCGCTTCGCCTGTAGAAGGCGTTGTGTCCCCCTTTTTAGCCATGAACGTTGCTTTCTAGCTTTAGGTGTGACTAAAGGAACAGTGTCTGAGACCGCCTGGTGAATGATCTCCTTTACCACTCCCCAGTGTTCTTCTACTGTAAGCTCTGTCCAATTTTTTGGCCAATTTGCTTCAGACAAAAGTCTTCGCATTTCGGTGTAATTGGCTTTGTTATAACACAGATAGGGCTGTGTATTGTCCCACTGTAAACGCTCGCGGAGGACTATGTCGAATGTTATGACCGCGTGGTCACTACTACCTATGGGAGTCGTGATCTGAACGTTTTCCACTAGTAGCTGGTCACTAGTGAGCACGTAATCCAGTCTAGAAGACTTCCCATCTGGGCCCCATCTAGTATCCATTCTGACATTTTCGGTGAATCCGGCCTCCCTGATGGTATGCAGCAGATTTCGATCAAATCTGTCCTGGGCACATCCCGTCATCAAGTTAAGAGATGGGGCATTGAAGTCTCCAGCTATGACAATTTGATCATAACCCATGTCTTGTGTCGCTGAAATTGCATTCAGCAGTACCTGGTTGTGGTCTGCTCCACATGAAGGTGATCTGTAAATGCTGCCCACTAGATACTTACAGTACCCAACGGTGAAATGGCACCATATGGAGTCAGGGAGCTCAATGAGGGGAGGGTCGATTGCATGGACACATCTGAGCTGTTTGTCGACGTATATGGCGACTCCACCTCCTTCTTTCAGATCCCTATCTCGCCTGACTAGGACCATATCATTTATACTGACTTCGCTGTCTGCCACCGTAGGGGTTAGCCAGGTTTCCGTCAGTATTATGATTTTGGAGTTCAGCTGTGATTGTAGGTATCTAAGTTCAGCTATTTTGCCTCTTAGACCTCTCACATTACTGTACAGGCAACTGGTAGTCAGTCTCACCACGTCCCCGTATTGGGGGGTGGTTGACGTGATGTGGGCTGTCGGTTGAGGAGTTATCCTACGAACTAGTTGGCCGATTCCCCGGGAACCGGCCTGTTGGCGTTTTTTTCTTCTGATTCAATCGGAGCACTTGGATGACACTGGCTATCATCGTCCGTGCTGCACCGCTGTATTGTGACTAGGGGTTGGGGATGTTCTATGACAACGTTTTGTTCTCTCCTTTGGGTACGAGGCCGGCTCTCGCAGCAGCGAATGTGTCTGCTGACCTTGTCCTTGGTCTCGTACCATCTCTGGAGAGCAGTAGTCAAGTGGTCTCGGGAGCTGAACTTAACAGCTAACAGACGTGGAGTGTTAATTGACATTAGGTGAGTGGGTCGAGGCAGTCTAAAAATAGAGACAGCCCCTGAACTTCCCAGACCCATCTGGGATGCCAACCATCTCCATTGCTGTACATCGTGACAGTGCTTCTCACAAGCGTTCCCAGTTCCCAGTTCGGGAATGCCGTGAACAACCATGGAGGCAGAAGGAATAAGCTCTGGCGACTCCCTCGCCATCTGTCTTTCCTTCCATGGCCTATCTGGCCTAACACGTATATTGCAGGTCCTCCCTATAGAAAGGACTTGGGAAGTCAATAAAACTTTTTCGGCATCTTCGGTAGAGCCTAGTGTTACCCTCAGTGGGGATGGTTTGCCTTGAGGAGCAGCAGTGCCCCTATACAATCTGCACAGTTTTACTGGTTGGATGTCCAGACCCAGTGTGCTACATAAGTTGGACCACTGTTCCTGATCAAACAGGGCCCTGTTTTCCAGCAGACTACTGCTACAGTCTGGTACATTAAAGAGGATAACGCAGTTTGATCGACTAACCGTGGATTTAGGTTCGGTCCTCGCACATTTGTCATCCCCCTTAAGACCGTTTTGTTTCGTCTGGTGCAACTGGGTATTATTATGTGTCGCAGTGCTGTGGCCACTTTTACTGGTGGACGGTAAGGGTCTTTTCCCAGCGACAGGTACCCTTGGTGCTTCAACCTCTGTGTCTGGGGCAGTTATGGCAGGAATTGCAAGTATAACCGGTGTGGATTTTGGTATCCCCGATTTACATGCAATTGTGCTGTTTTCTGAGTTGGTGGGAGTAAAACGTTTCACGTTTTTTCCTGATACCTCTATGCCATCTGTAGCTTTCGAGGAACTACACGAGGCTGCATTAGGACGGCAACTTGGGCATATGTACCAGAACCATGGGC